CCCCTCCTTTAAACTGCTGATATGTGTGTGGTACCACATTAATAATAATAAAGAATAAACACTGTTTTTTTAAAGAGCAAAGTAGACTTGTCATCTTGAATCTAAGCTGTTTTTTTTTTTTTTTTGCCAGTTCAAATAGTGTAAAATTGCTCTGTTGACACGAATCATGACGCTTAGCTTTTATGCAGCATATAATCTCGCATGCCTTAATGTTAATTAAATTCCAAAGAAGCAGTTTTCCGATCTCTCCACGGGGAGCTTGTTTGCCTTAAAATGAAACTACTGGGCTGAGATGGTCTCCACTATACTGGCATTACGTTCACTACATTAACTCAGTAAAGACTTTGGCATAAGACGTGTAGCTGAACCTCGGTAATCCCCTCCGCTTCTCGGGAAACCCAGGGCTCCTGCGCCGCGTCTCGTCCGTGGGGGGGTCCCGGGCTGGTGGCTGATGGTCATATTAACCTTCCCGTTTGTTGCAACACCCCGAAGAGTTATCACCCCCATTCAAAGGAGCGGGGCAAAGAAATGAGCAGCCTTCCCATTGCTGGGAGGTGATGGTGGCTGGGCTTTGTCTCGGGATCGTTAGGAATCGTTGCGCCGCGTCTGTCAGCCTTTGATTTTACTTCTCCCTGGCCCTTCAGCCAAGGGGCTGGAGGAGAGTTGTCCATCCAGAAGCAGCCTCCTCTCCCAGTCCCAAATGTGTTCTCACTTGGCACATGGTGGAGCTCGCAGAATAAACAGGAGGAGGGAGCAGTGCCTGCCACAGAGCCCAGAAACCCAAGACTTTGCACCGACCAAACCCTTCCCTCATGTTGGTTCCTGTGGGTGATTGCACACAAAGCCCTGGGAAAGAAAAAACCTCAAGGTTACAAGTATTCCCGAGGAGAACAGGGCTATATTTCCCCCATTTGGGGTGTGTGCTGGAGGGGGCAGCTCCTTTTAGGCCATTGCTGGTTGCACAGGTTTGGGGAAGGAGTGAAAGAAGAGGGGCAAGTGAAGTCTTTCTACCCTTTTTGGGTGTGGGGGAGAGGGGATGAAGAAGCAGCTGGTTAGCTAGAGGCTAGTTCTGCTGTATAATCACCAGGCTAAAAAGCTCCCCCATCAAAGAACTTCATCCATGTTAAAAAAGAGGAGGAACAGAAACTAATACCCAAGCCTTGGTGGCTCCTGAGGCGTGTGAAGAGTGTTCGCCTCTCAGAAATGAAATGATGGGACCCACTTGCTTGGCTTTGGCGTGAACAAAGAATGAAATAGGAAGTGCTCCTATTCAGGGTGAGAGTCCTGGACATCTTTGAATCCACTTAGCATTATATGCAGTGTCAGGATGCTAGTCCTGAGTGCTCTCAAATATTCCCAGAGGTTACAAGCTCAAGCACTTGACTCAGCGAAAGCTGAGACTTTTAAAGATGGATACAAAGCAAGCTAAACCTTCCTCTGGGGTATCCAATAGACCCTACGCAGCCAATTAGTGCATTTCTCTCTCCATCCCAGCAGCGTGAGGTGCAAGGGGACAGTGGGAAGAACAGGAGGTATCAGAGGAACTCCGACTCCAGCAGAATATGGTTGGGGTCGGGAGGAGAAAAATAATTGCAGGGAGCTTGAAAAGCACATCTCGCTCATCCAGAAGGATATATATGCTCTGAACAAATGTCTTGTGTCTGTGTTGGGGCCGAGCTTGGGCCAGCAGCACCCCTGGACCCTGCTGTGGGCTGAAATCCCACAGGGACAGGTATCAAGAGCCTGAGGGGTGGGAGGGATAGATATAAGTGTGGTGGGTGGGAGGTGGAGAGAGTCCTTCAGAAGTGCTCACAGACACTACAACTGAAGCCTCACTGACACAATTCCTCATGAGGTGGGGTGTCCTTATGTCTGGGAGTCAAATTTAATGTTCACACAGCCTCAAGATTGCTTATTTAATACAACTACTGCTGCTACTTGTTCTTTGTTGTTTCGGGGTGGATTTTTTTTTTTGCTTGGGGTTGATATCACCTTTATATAGAAACACCCATTTTCTTGGGGTGCTTAGGTATAAGAGTGCATTCTGGAAATTCTTTCCAGGGAGCATGTGCTAGAACAATCAAATCCTCCACAATCCTTGTTAACATGGAGGCTGGAGCTGAACATTTTTAACACTCACTGTCACGAAGTACTGCCAGGCTGGAATCTCAGTCCTGTATCAAAAAACAGTCAGAATCAATGCCAGATGCAAATAAAAGCAAACAGTTAATTTGTTGCCTTTTTTTTTTTTTTTTTTTTCACAAGGCACTTGTCCTCTTTCAGATCACTTTGGTTTTGTCCAGAAAGGAGAAGGCGTTACACTACTGAACATTTGTCAGTAGAGTATGATGAATACAACCATGTTTCACAGAAGAGAGGTAAACACAGCATGTCTTTGACAACATGGCACATGACTCGATGCAGGACGAGTTTTATTGATTATTGAAAAACTTCTCATTGCCCAAAAAATCACTTTCTTGGTTTAACCTTCGCAATCCAGGAACATCTAATAAAGTTGGAATGCTAACATACGTATATTTGTACTTGAATAATTAAACCTTGCAGCTGTGGTCATAAACTTTCCTTTCAAGCAGCACCTTCACAGCACTCACACTGGCTCTAATCAAAGAAATGGGAGTTAGGAAAAGTGTGGGTTTGCTGTCCATTAACGTGAATAGGAAATGTGTATTGCAAAAATCTCTCTCAAGGCAAGTACCAGTAACTCAATTTGGAATAACTTGTGGTTAGTGGGATTTGCTTTTAAGCAACCGAGTTCAAATATGTAATACAGCAATAGTGGGAAATGGTTTAGAATAAGCAAATAATGTAAAAATCATTTCTGGATATATTTTTATTAAATTTCCTCATTGTCACAAGCTCAGAGCCTGATATTGCAAATGGCTGAGAAGCTCCTGGGAACTGCTAAATACTTTGCAGCCCTACCATGTATAGGAGGAGGGCGAGAAGGTTTTAAAGCACTTTGGAGGAAAGAGATTTATATCTGAGATGTAGAGGAAAAAACCTGCAGAATAAATTGTGTCAGAATTATCATACTGGGCAGTGAAAACCTTTTTTAGAAGAACATAAATATGAATATACTGCCACAGACACAGTGCCCGTTTGGTCCCATACTCTGTTTCACTTTTTCAGCTGCAAACTGTTTTCAGAACTCCGTGTGGTTTGCAGTCAGTTTTAATGATTGCTCTAAACACCTCTCTATTCTCTCCTTTAATGTATGTAAACCCAACATCCTTTGGCAAAGAATTTTCCAGCTGCGTGAGAAACCATCCTGGTTTATTTGTTTTGAAGCAGGTTTCTGCTTGCTTCATTTGATGGTTCCCTGTTCTGGTCCCAGAAGAGACTAAAAACAGTTGACCTGCTCTCTCCAGACCACCCATGGGTTTGAAGGCTGCTGTTATATACTGCCTTAGATATTTTTTCCCCTGGCCAAAGGCACTACTTGGTCATTCCTCGTGTGAAAGCTGTCCATACCTTCAGTCATCCTTGCTGCTGTTTGAAATTTTCCCAGTTTTAAGATGAGCTGCCTGAGAGCAGGGTACCAGAACTCCTTTGACTATTCCAGGTATATGCAAACCGTGCATTTGTGCAGTAGGACACTTTGGTTTTCCAGGTGCCCCTTTGACCTGTCTCTGTCTTGTAAGGACACCAAACCCGACTACATTATCTCTAAGCACAACCTCTCAGGAAGCTCTGTTACTTTTGATTAATTATGAACATCAACAGTTTTCAACCCTGTGTTTCAGATCAACGGAAAAAAAAAAAAAAGAGAGAAACTGGCTGTAATAAGAAGATTTATAAATCTGTTGTCAAAAAGCACTATTGAGTCAACGAGGCAGATAACCAGAAAAGTAGCAAGCACGCAGGCTTATTTTTATCTTAGCCCTGAAAACCTCTTTTCTATAGCAAAAGCTTCCATATTGACGAACATATGATACCTTGTGATCCAATTTGCTGAGGGTTTGACCCAGAAGAAATCATTGTAACCATGTAGGATTTCTTCACAGTATGGACATTTTGCTTACATACAGCTCAGTAGGTCTTGGCTACGTAAGGCTGTTTCAATTTTTAATGAAAGACTCCTAGAAATGAAATATTAAATACCTCTTTCTGTAAAGTCCAACTCCCCCTATTATGACTACTGACATTGTAAAGGGCAGCAATACTGCTCATTGCTCAAAATGTTTTAAAGTGATGGATGAAAAGGAAGATTTTGTTTTTAAAGTTGGATATAGTTTGCAAAGATCACTAACCTCGAACTGAATCCTGCAGTTCTTACTTACTAAGGTCAGTGGGAGTTTCAATTAATAGGAAGAATTTTATCAACTGAGAACTGGCTAAAACCTTATTGACTTTTTTTGAGGAAAATCCTTTAAAATTCAAAAGACACCCCCCCCCCTACAGAGATTACATGGTATATGTAGAGAGATTCTTTAAGCCATCTGAAAGAGAAAATAATTGTTCTACACTCTGCCCAGAGGTGACAACAATTAGTGCCAATCCCTTCTTTTGATTCATTTTAAATTTCCCTGTTAATTTCTGGGAGAAATCTTTAAAGAAACCCATTCCTTACAGTCTGCATTTTCCCTCCTGGGAGCTGGAAATGTTTCTGCTGTATCAATGGGAAACTATAGGTCAGAACAAGAGACTTTAAACATGAGTTGGCTCCAGTGGAAACCTACAGAAGCTGGTAATCTGTGTGCATTACAGCACTGGCTGATCAATGGTAATTCAGAAATAGAGTGGCGTGTTGTCAACTGAGAAATATTTCAAGGCTTGATTAGTTGTGCTTCTTCTCCATTGGGACCGTAGTGCAATCTTCACTTATAAAGACATGTGATCTGAAAGCCTGAGGCAGAACAATCCTTGTTTTCACAGGAGAAGCTTTTCTAGGATGCAAAAGATTTTACATCCTCATCCTTGTTTTTAAAAGCTGTGTCTTCTCCACAAAATTAAAAAAAAAAGTAAAAAGCAAGCTCAGGATGGCATCAACATCACAGCCTCTGCGAGGTAAAAGAGCATGTAAAAAAATATTTTGGGCAGTGTTTCCTCATGCCTGCTTCATTCTGTCTCTTGTGATCTATGCTTTTCTCGGGGCTCTCATGTTTTCCCACATTGAAGGTAACCGGAAGGTCAATTTAAGTGAAGAATATAGACAATTTCTGCAGAATCTGTGGTACATCTCCAGAAACTTATCAGGTATGTACTGAAATTTCAGAACTCCTTTATTGCATAGGGGAGCTCCTTATTCCCTTGCTTTTTGAATGAGATTTTTTTGGCTTTTGAAGACTTTCTTCAAAGACTAACAGCTGAACCCACAAACAGCATTTTCCCTCTGCTTAGCTAATGACTGCTGTCGTTTGCTCGTCATCCTTAGCCGTGATTTTGACTGCAGACCTCCCTGGTCCCTGTGTTCCTGCCTGAAAAGACTTTTCCTGAGGTGTTCTCCCTTTTGCCCAAGTTACTTCAGGTCCTTAAAGAGCAGCTGAGATTCCCATGGTATTTCCCTCTGATTGCTGGGGACCGAATCCTCTGTTCCCTTCTCTGAGCCTCTGGTGATGGGATGCTTGGATGGAGGCAGATGCAGTGCTGTGCCCCAGACCTGGTGGTGCTGATGGGGGGCAATAAAGGGGAGGAGAAGGGGTAGAAATCCTCCTGGATCTGTGTTGGGGCTTGTACGTGGGCTTGGACTTTCTCTCAGGTAGCTGTGATGTGTTTGGGACAAGCATCCCTGTGGATAATGTCCTCTCAAGCAGGGCTCAGCCATGGGGGGAGGAACGAGGGGTGCAGGCTCTGGGGTTCACAGCGGGGCGCTGGGCAGTGCCACCCGAGTGGTTCATGTATATCTGGTGTCTTTGGGTCAGAAAAAGACTAATCTCCTGGGGTCTCCAAAATGAAACAGGACATTCAGGCTGAAAGCTGAATATTCAATTTTCTTTCTGCTCATTTTTGTGTCATATTCTGACTTTTTTGGAGCATAGATTGTTTATTTGTTCCTTGTTTCTTTATTCGCTGAAGCCACTGGACCAACCTGATTTTTTTTTTTGG